CCTAAGGGAAAGAAATTACAAACTAAAACATGAATCATCATCCTGAGAGTGGAGGCACAGTGCTTTGTGTTAAGGGTTAAATGTTAATTTATAATAGTTAGAGTGTACACCAACTCTTCTGCTTTATGCAACCAACATATGCCACAGCCAGATCCAGATACTGGTTGCACAGTCAAGGTAAAAAATAGAAGTGTTTCTCTTCTTTTTTTTGCTTTGTACTGAGGAGGATGGAGAGAGAGAAACATTTCCTTCAATTCACTCAAACACCAATAGTAAACTCAGAGTCAGAGATCTAGATTTCCAACCACACTAAGAAAAGCTGATAATTTCTGAAAGGTGCTGAGAGAGTGGGATATTCCTATACTTACATCTTGACTTTTTTGTTGTTTTGGTTTTTTTTAACATCAAATTATGTAGAACAATCTATCCATGCCAAACGTAATAACTCAAGCAGCCAAAATTTACTCATAACTCTGACTACCCAGCCCAGAATTTGCCATGGTATATAGAATAGTTGTTTTAATTTATTATAAAGTTAACTAATTCAATTTAAAAATAGTCAAAAAGGTTTGGAAAAATTTCAAATGGGGGTGGGGAGGAAAGAAGAAGACCGGGTGAAAAAAACTGTGTAAAGCAAGGGAGGCTTTAGTTTAACAAGGAGCATCTGCAAATGTAGACAGGTATGCTGCTGGCTATGAAAATATCCTCTTTGTTTAGGGGCTGGAATAAAACTGTTTAAAGCCTAATTGTGCAAAGACCCTTTGGATACATATCTAAAAATTTCAAGTACTGAACAAATTATAAATACCACAGGCCTGTGAAGCTTTGCATGAACGCATTACATGTTAGTGCTATTGTAACTTAAAGCTAGCCATGTCCATCATCAGCAGTGAATTGGCTATAGTAGATTCATTCTCTGTGTTTAATCGTATTGCATGTTAATGACTACCAGATCTGTAGCATAGCTTGGGTTTAGTTTTGCAGGGCCAAAACTGGTTGTGCTTAACAACTATGTCACATTTTATCAGTATGGTGACTGAGTGTGTGTTTCAGCTCAATAGTTTAATTTTGGCCCATAGGTACTGCGCTAAATCTTAGATTTTTTTTTTTTACTGGAATTTTGGAGGTTACTGGACCTGGTTCAGGTTTTATAGACGTGGATCAGTGTTAACATTTGCCTTCATTGGAAATAGAATGAGGCCCATTATTGTCCCATTTTGTAACGTGTATGTAAACAATACACAACGTGTACAAGTGCCCTATGCTGATACTTGGTAAAAACCAAGGATATGGCCTATCCCCCTAACGTCAGACAAAATTTGTTTTAAAATGTGATTAATTTTTTGGAGTTCCTTGAATAGTCAATGAACTGGAAGTGCCTGGAAATTAGTTACTAAACACTGAACTATATTCAATGAATATGAATCTATCCTGGAAAACACTTTTAACAACGTTAACTTTAAGATGGCTTTTACATTTTATGTTTGGAAATTGCTCAGGTGAGAGGAGAAAACATCCTAGTAGTAATAAAATATTCCAGACAGCTAACTGACATGTTAAATTGTGTTTGTAGCATAAATGTTCCAAAAGAGACTAACTGAAATGCCTATTTTTGTAGCAAAAGCGTTTATAATGTTATAAGTATTAAAAATTTCAATTACTTTTGACGTGGAACAGGCTGGAATGTTCTCCTAGCTGCTTTCATAGCTGGAAGTTACAATTCTAGCTACTTTGAGAGATCCTTTGAAAAACAGCATGTCACATTAAAGATTTCCCATCTCTGAAAGACCCATGACCTATGAGCATTTTGTATTCCTGAAGTTACTCATTTTGGTACTTTGTTCTGTGACTACCGAAAGTTGGCAAAGCATTCCTTAAAGTTGTCTCCAAATATGTGGAGACAGTAAGCAGGAAAGCAGCTTTTTCATTCAGACATGACTGGCAGCTGGTCTGAGAGGAACAGTGATGAATTCCTTTCCTGGCTATATTGAAACACCTGGCACTTGGTCCTGCTTGTAGGATCTTGGTGAGATCAGTGCAAGGTTCTGGTCTTAAGAAGATAATTATACACAGAGGGCAACATTTCATTTTAAAAGCAGCAAATGATACACTGTATTTGAGTTGGAGCCAAATGCTTCAGAAATCCATCACTGCTGTTAATAATTAAAAATATCACACATAAGACTTGCTTGACTTTTTCTTTCCTTGCTTGATGGATGGAATTTGGCAGCATTACTGATAATGTAAGAGATTGGAATAGAGAAGTTGTGCAGTATAACAAAAGTACTGAACATGCCTGCAAATGTATATATCTAGAGAACTTAATCCTGGCCATAAAAATTCCATGTGTACTATATGCTCCCTAAGAGGTGGAGAAGAGCAAATCCAGGGCGCTTTTTGCAAGATCTCATCAATCAAAGCTTGGCTCTGCAAAATTGAGATCTGGATCCTACTTCATCTGAAGCTCCAAAGTCTGAATGGATTGAAACAAAAGTTTCATCTTTATTACGGTTTGCTAGAAAACAAGTCAAGTTGTAAATAATTTAAGTTTCTTATTCACAGGTCTAAGAACTGGCTTGTATGCACAAAACCGATAACTTTTGGCAGAGTACAGATTAGCATTTTAAAATATAGCAGATGGTAATTATTTCACCAGGGGAAAACTAGCATCATTTTGCTGTAGGACAAAATAAAAATAAGTTTTTCCCCCTATGCTTATAGACTGGGGACCTGGTAGAGCTGCAGGCCTAAAAGGCAGATTTCTTGTCAAACTGAATTGTCTTCCAAGTTACTGAAATTCATGTGCATTTAGAATTAACTTTGTAAAAAAAAGTTGCGTGTGTGTTTTTTTTTGTTTCCAACTTTCTGGTGTTTGTGTTGATGCAGTTGGGTGGCAAAATGATTATGGTGTTGTAACTGCAGTGTTGGTGAGAAGTGACTGCAGTGCCCTGTCACTACAAATTGACCCATTTGGACTTAACGGAGGCTGAAATGACAGCAACAAGAACCAGCAAGAATCCTAATGAAAATCTAGGACAGCACTCGATAGGGGAAACCTTCATGGGGAGCTCACTGGGAAGTCTCAGACTTACTTCGCTGATGCTGAGCAACTGGGATGTAGCTTTCAGAAGTAAGGGCACCAACTTTGTTTTAGTTTTGTCTTCCATTATCAAGGGTACAGAACTTCACCTCTAACAGAGTTTTAGTAGTTCAGGCTCCAGTATTGCTTGGGGAATCTATATAGAGGTGTATAAATAAAGGCCAACAGCCCAAGGGTTGTAGGATACTGGTGTGGCAGAAGTGACTGCGTGGCACCATTGCTAATTTTACTTTTGGGGAAAAACTCTCCTTCCCAGTAGACAAATGCTGTTTGGAAATGCAGCAGTGGTGTTGATGTTGCAGTCTCCAGTAGGTAGCTAGACCTTGATGTCTGCCTAATTCCAGGGGTGGGCACTTATTTCGGGAGAAGGGCCGCTTACTGAGTTTTGGCAAGCCATTGAGGGCCGCATGACAGGCAGCCAGGGGAAGATTAATATTAATTTTCTAAATTTTTTAGGGGCCCCGTGGGCTGGATAGAATGGCGTGGCAGGACACATCTGGCCTTTTGCCCACCCCTGGCCTAATCCCTCTGGCTACAGGTGGGGGGAATTGCTTTTGGGAACTGGTTTTTGGCTTCGGAGCTGTGAACGAGGGAAGACTGGCGTTGCCTTTGCTTCAGCACCTCTGGTCAAGGGCTGGCAGCACAGCGCAAACGTGAGCACGTTCTTGTTCTGTTTTCCCACTTCATGCTCCAACAGGAGCTGCATTTGCTTCGTTCCCAACATTTGTATCACCTGGGCAAAGGAGCAGCAAAAGCCCTGTCCCAGCAGAGGTGGGAAAGAAGATCCTAGAGTGGGGTTGCAGGTCCTGGTGCCAGCCTGCCGGCGGCGAGACCAGGAGCCCGGGAGCAGCACGCACAGGCTCCCCCGCGGCCCGGAGCACCACGTGCCGCCGGCAGAGGGCAGCGTCGCCGCGCGCATCCCCTGCGCGCCGCTTCGGCCGGGCGGGAGCCGGGGAGTGC